GATTTAGATGAAGAAATCTATACGGAGCAACTCGAGAGGTTTTCAGCTCCAGGGCAAAATAAGAAAGTATGTAAGCTTGTCAAGTCATTATATGGTTTGAAGCAAGCTCCTAGGCAATGGTATGAGAAGTTTGGCAATGGTATGTTAATGGGTTTAGAATCAATGAGTATGACAAATGCGTATATGTCAAAGACACTGACAGAGGTTATGTCATTTTGTGTCTATACCTTTATAACATACTCATTGTTAGTAGTAATGATGAAATGATTAGAATTATCAAGAGATTATTAAACTCTAAGTTTGACATTAAAGATATGGGTCTTGCAGATGTAATTTTGGATATTAAGAATACCAGAATATCTGGTGATATTGTACTTTCTCAATCTCAGTATGTTGAGAAGATACTTAAGAAATTTGGTAAATCAGATATGACTGTGTCTAGGACACCAGTAGACTTGAGTCTACATTTGACCAAGAATAATGGTGAGAGTGTCTCTCAGCTAGAATATTCTCGGGTTATTGGGAGTTTGATGTATTTGATGAGTTGTACAATGTCGAATATAGCCTACTCTGTTAGCAGACTTGGTAGATACACGAGTAATCCAAATGCTACTCATTGAAGGGGCATTATGCAGGTGTTAGGTTATCTACGCTACACCTGAGATTATGGGCTGCATTGTACTAGATACCGAGTGGTACTAAATGGGTATAGTGACGCTAATTAGATATCTGATATAAAAAACTCCTAATCAACTAGTGGTTATGTGTTTACCCTAGGAGGGGCAACCGTGTCTTGAAAATCGTCCAAACAAATGCGTATATCAGGATCAACGATGAAATTTGAGTTTATTGCTTTGGATAAAGCAACTGAAGAAGTTGAATGGCTTCGCTAATTCGTTGAAGATATTCCACGTTGGCTGAAACCTGTGCCAACTATCTGTATTCATTGTGATAACTAATCGGCGATTGGATGGGCACTGAGTAATAGATATAATGGAAAGTCTAGACGTATCCGTTGTAGATATAATTCCATACGACAACTACTCTCTAATGGAGTTGTCTCTCTAAACTATGCAAAGTCTAAAGACAATTGCGGATCCACTAACCAAAGGGTTAACTCTAGAGTTAGTAGAAACGTCGTCAATAGGAATAGGGTTAAGGCCTTTAGTAAATGTTACCGGAACAGAAAACCCAACCTAATTGACTAAAGATCCCAAGAGCTAGGTTCAAAGGGACAACCTAACTGCGTGTAACGGGTGAGTCACTGAAGAGGTAAATCCTCTTGGCCATTCCTTTATACAGTGATACCCTGTAGGGGTGGAAGGTTAAGCTAATGCTTTTAATGACTTAAGAGAGATGAAGAATCAACCGTGGTATATTGAGATACCTTATATAGGTCACCTATGTGAGTGCAAAGTGGGGTCACTCTTAAAGAATTGACAAGGTTGAATTCTTTAAAAACACTCACTGAATCAGGCTAGTGTTCCAAAGCCATACTGGACGCACCAGTGAGAACAAGAACAATGGTTGGACTAACTTTTGTGTGAGGTCTATTGTCTTGGTTTACATAAACGGCAGAATAATTCAAGACATCATATTCACTGGTCAACCAGTAAATTCGATAGGTTTTCACTACGAAAGGTTCAAGACCAACAACTACATTTTCTGATGCAGGGTTATTCTATGTGCTCTCTCTCCGAGTCTGTGTTGTAAACGTTGTCGGTTTTCTTTATTCGGCCAATTTTTATTTAGGACCTGATGGTATCCCTATTGAAGCTTGGAAGTGTTTGGGTAAAAAGGGAGTTGCTTGGTTGACTAGGTTGTTTAGCAAAATTTTGTTGACTAGGAACATGCCAGATGAGTGGAGGAAGAGTATTTTAGTACCAATCTATAAGAATAAAGGTGATGTCCAGAATTGTAACAACTATAGAGGAATTAAGCTAATGTGTCATATAATGAAAGTGTGGGAGAGGGTGATGGAACATCGATTGCGAGACATAACAGAGGTGTCAGAGAATCAATTTGGGTTTATGCCTGGTAGGTCAACAATGGAAGCGATCTATCTTTTGAGGAGAGTAATAGAAAAGTATAAAGAAAAGAAAAGAGACATTCATATGGTGTTTATCGACCTTGAGAAAGCATATGACAGAGTGCCCCGAGATATAATATGGTGGGCGTTAGAGAAGAAAGGGGTGACAAAAGGCTACATTGACGTGATTAGGGACATGTATGAAGGGGTGGTGACCACTATTAGATCGCCAGCTGGAGAAACAAATGAATTTCCTATCACTGTAGGGTTACACCAAGGATCTACCTTAAGTCCTTATCTTTTTGCTTTAGTTATGGACGAGTTGACGATAAATATTCAGGATGACGTGCCATGGTGTATGCTTTTTGCAGACGATATTGTGTTAGTGGATGAGACTAGAGAAGGAGTTAACACAAAGTTGGAGATCTGGAGAAAAGCTCTTGAATCTAAAGGGTTTCGAATAAGCAGAACTAAGACAGAGTACATGGAGTGTAAATTTAGTAACAGTAACAATGAAAGCAGAGGAGAAGTGAAGATTGAGAACCAAGAACTGCCTAAGAGTGAACATTTTCGTTATTTAGGGTCGATTATCACAACAACGGGAGAGATTGATGCAGATGTGGTCCATAGGATTAAGGCGGGATGGTGTAAGTGGAGAAGTGCGTCTGGGGTATTGTGCGATAAACGAATACCCACTAGACTAAAAGGTAAGTTTTATAGAACGGCTATTAGACCAGCTATGTTGTATGGGACAGAGTGTTGGGCAACTAAGAAACAACATGTAGATAAGATGAGTGTGGCTGAGATGAGGATGCTAAGGTGGATGTGTGGTAAGACTAGACAGGACAGGATTAGGAATGAGTGTATTCGGGAATGGGTAGGAGTAGCACCGATAGAAGACAAGTTGAGAGAGAATCGTTTGAGATGGTTTGGTCATATTCAACGGAGACCAACAGAGGCAGTAGTGAAGAGATGCGACACTGTAACGGCAGATGGAAGTGTTAGGGGACGGGGTAGGCCTAGATTAACGTTGACTAGCGTTATAAATAGAGATATGAATCTACTTAATTTGACTAATGAAATGGCCTTTGATAGGGCCGCGTGGAGAAGAAGGATTCATGTAGCCGACCCCATTTGATGGGACTTAAGGCTTCGTTTGGTTTGGTTTGGTTTGGGGGATTGTTGAAAAAAATAGTTTTATGGTTACTTCAATATAAAATTAAAGTAGGTCCCAACCATCGGTTGAGGTGGGATCAAATGGGTTTAGATTCTTTGTAACAAGATCTTTACACCACAAAAAGAATGATTAGAAACCATTAAGAATTGAATAAGAAATTGTTTCATAAAGTTGGTCTCATGAATGAGTTATTGGGAATTGTGTATAACTATCAATCCCACATTGATTGTAGAGGAAAGTTTTGATGGGTATTTAAATCTCAAGATTTTGATAAGGGCATGGACATCCAAATTTTCCGAAGGAAGAGAGTTATAGATGCTCAAGAATGGGCTTGGGCCAAAACTATGGTCTAAGTAGGTTATTCAAAAATTGCCACGCGCACGCTGCCCGCCTACTTAGACCGGACTGGACTAGGACCGGGATTGGGTTTGGGTCCGTGATCCATGGGTCGTAGATCTTGGGACTTGGGGCTTGGCCTTGGCCTTGGGCTGAGGCTTGAGGCTTGCTGGAATGGGTCCGTGGTCTTGGATCTTAAGGCTTGAGACTTGCTGGAATAGGTTAAGTTTGGGCTGGGCTAGATTGGTGGCCCATCAACCTAATCTTTTGGGCTAGGTTGGTTTGGTGGCTGCAGATATACATATATGTCTATATTGTGTGTAACCTCTACACTTAAATGGTGATTTACACCATCATTTTTTTTTGCATTACTTCTTCAATTTTGCATAAATTGAATTCTGCATTTGTTGCAGAAAAAATCATCCTCTCTCCCCCATTGTGTATAAAAGGAGACCTCCTCTTTGGTCTTAGGTATAGAATTTTTGGCTTTCATATACAGTCAGTCTGCTTCTATATTCTTCTTCCTGTGTGAGAGAATGCTGCCATTGTCAGTTCGCTGGAGTTAAACAGAAGGTGTTTCTACATTAGTGGATCTATACTGTCGTATCCTGGGGGATAGACGCCGATATTCCTCCAGCAGTCACGGTGAGGCGACAAATCTGTTTTAAGGAAACAGTTATATCACACAGGTTTCGGTTTGTTTTCTTTTTCCATTTTATTTTGTTTAATATTTCTATTCATCGAGTTGTATAATTTAGTCCCATAATTTCATGATTTGAAATTTAATTTATTAAATATGAATATGTTTGTTTTCTTTTAATTACACAATTTGTATGACAGATGGTACATTAAATCCAGGTGGGCTTGTCCCACACTGAAACTGGTGTAGATTTGCCCTTTTTTTTTTAAAAAAAAAAAAAAAAAATGGATAATAATGTTATTCATGCCAATCTATCATTTGGAAGGTGCTTCAATTTCTGTTTACTCTTCTGCAACTTGCTGTTGGGAATCGAAACGAATTGTGTCTTGGCTTTTATTTCATCTCAAACAGAAATATGCATATAGTTTATGCAATCGGTATTGGCTTTAAGTTTAGATAGGACTTGTTCAAAGTAAGGAAGTTATATGTTTCATTTCCTAGTTAGTACTATTGTATGTTTTACGTAAATCAGGTTTGGCAATCAAATAACAGGTATATTGTCAACCAATTAGCTGGTTTATACAAAAAGAACTAAATTGATTTCTAAGCCTTAATAGTTTTTTTTTTATCCCTATTTATTTATTTATTTTGGTTGTATATGTGGCTTTAGAATTGTGTTCACTTCCGAAAACACATCTGTTTATGCATTTTGAAACCATTAGCATATATCACACAATCTGTCTACTGACATCATTTCTACCTTGAGTTTGCTTTATATATTTGTGATTTTGTATTTGACATGCATTCTCTGCTTGCAGCAAATACTTAATTATTTTACGTACAAAGCTGTGAGGACTGTTCTAAACCAGCTTTACGAGATGAACCCGCCGAAGTATAGGTGGTTTTATGAGTAAGCGAATCATCATCCTTATCAAATCAATATGGCCTTTTGTGATCCTTTCATGTCAATCTAAAACACCCACCATTGTGGCTCATAATTTCCAAAATATTACTGTTATATCATCCTGGATGGTTCTCTATATAAAAATCATGTCTATGTAACAATTTTTCAAAACGTTCTGATGCTCTGCATGGGGCCTCACGAACACATACTTCTCAATCCTGAAATCCATGTTACGTGGAGTTGGGTGTGGATGTCGGGTGTGAGTATATGTTTAAGCATTGAATTCTTCCAATAGGGGCACGGGTAGATATTCATGTATATATATATATATATATATATTATTTCTAGAGGTAAAATAGTTTTCAGAAAGTAACAGAATATTTTATGATATGGGAATTTTATATATTATCATAAACTCACCTAGGCATACTTCCTGGGTGCATGATCACCTAGACATGTGAGATAGGTATCTCATAACCTTAATCAAGTGTCAAGTCTCCGAGTACTTCACACTTGGAAGAGTCCATGTACCAGATCCAGAAACCATCAACAAAATTGCAGTTTTGCAAATTTTTTATTTTTTTTTAACCATCGGTAGGATGGGAATATGGGAACGTGAAGCTGCGTAATGCAATAGTAAGACTTGAACCCAAGCATCATGCTTGGTAAGAAAGTGTCGCATTCACCAGGCCAACCCTTTGGTCTAGCAGTTTTGGGAGTTAGGTTGTATACAAGATTAGGTATACAACAATTACGAGCAGGCAGCACATGCTCTGCCCTAGGCCAAGTTCACATAGTTGTCTAATATTGAATGCTATGGTAATTTACTGTCTCTAATTTTTGTCATTTCTCATTTTGTCAGTTTCGTTGCGTCAAACAAGCCTGGTGATGGGAAGCGTTTTATTCGCATCCTTGGGAAGGTAGCTTTCAAAAAACCTCGAGGATAACATATGAACTTCTATGATCTTAAACTTATGCTTCATTTGATGGAATCACACTCGCTAAAAAAGGAAAAAAAAAAAAAATCATATTCATCGTGTTTTATTTTTTATAGGAGAAGCAAGATCTTGCTGAAAGAGTGATGGTAACGAGACTACACCTCTACGGCAAATGGGTTAAGGTATTGAATTTAGTACTTAACTCTCTTTATTCAGCATGCACACTATGTAGACACAAACCAATGTAAAAAATAAAGAATAAAACAGTTTTCTCTGTATGTGATTTTTGTTGTAGAAATGTGATCATGCTGAAATATATAAGGAGATCTCTGATCAGAACTTGGAGTTGATGCGTGAACGACTCATGGAGACTGTTATATGGCCCTCAGACGACACAAACACGCAGCTCATGGGTTGAAACTTGGTCTTGGATTTCGTTTTTCTTTTCTTCCTCGAAAGCTTTGACTAGTTTAGTCTTTAAAATCCTCATTAATGTTATTTTCCACCAAGTAATAAGAGTTTTCATATATTTTATATGGAAGTTATGTATATAAGTATCTCATCCATCAAGTTTAGATATTTTAGATTCAAATATATTGTTTCTCTTATTTGGAAGACAATGAACATTTTAGTACACGTTGCCTCAACTGGTCAAATTCAAGGTGTTTGAAATGGATGAAATAAAAAATAATAATAAAAAGAAGAAGAAAGAAAGAAAAAGAAAAAAGAGATGTTGAACTGCCGTGTTATGCTATGTATGAATCCTTGGATTTATCAAGGAAAATGAAGGAAATAAAATTTTAGCTTTATTTAACTTCATTTTCTTCGTATTCTTTCCTTTTTCATTCACTTTCCCTTGCAAATTTCTCTACAAATCTATAATCCAAACACATCCTTAATGTTTGACATAAGAACGCATTACTATGATTATGAAATTGCAATTCGTTTAGGGCACAAAATGTTGATTTGTTAAGAGTGAACTCATTAGTGAGATTGTGTGGAGCCTTAGACATGTTAAGTAAACATTTCTTGAGAAATATCATTTTTACACAAACAAACGGAATACTCATATGGAGGCCTATATGTCGGGGTGTGCACGGGTCGACTCGACTTGGGTTTCCCATCAATCCGTCACCCGACCCGACTAGATCGGATTGGAAAAAACTCATCCATTCTCGACCGATGTATGCTTTGAAATTGCAGAACTCGGTTTGATCAGTTTCGTGGTCGGATTGGATGAAACCGAACTATATCAAACAAGCAAAATATAAAAGGAAAAAACAATTGTAGATCTAACTTTGGCCAATATGTATTGTATGATCCCAAATTATTGGTTTTCCTTTTTTCATTCCATTTTAAACCGTATTATATACAGACATCTATGTATATATATTTACATACGTAGATCTTTACCACCAACACCACTATCATATTCTATACATGCCACTATCTACCACCAACACCACTATCATATTATATACATGAACATAATTTCCAGCAGATGGGCACAGAGTAATATATATAATGGAAAGTCTAGACGTATCCGTTGTAGATATAATTCCATACGACAACTACTCTCTAATGGAGTTGTCTCTCTAAACTATGCAAAGTCTAAAGACAATTGCGGATCCACTAACCAAAGGGTTAACTCTAGAGTTAGTAGAAACGTCGTCAATAAGAATAGGGTTAAGGCCTTTAGTAAATGTTACCGGAACAGAAACCCAACCTAATTGACTAAAGATCCCAAAAGCTAGGTTCAAAGGGACAACCTAACTGCGTGTAACGGGTGAGTCACTGAAGAGGTAAATCCTCTTGGCCATTCCTTTATACAGTGATACCCTGTAGGGGTGGAAGGTTAAGCTAATGCTTTTAATGACTTAAGAGAGATGAAGAATCAACCGTGGTATATTGAGATACCTTATATAGGTCACCTGTGTGAGTGCAAAGTGGGGTCACTCTTTAAGAATTGACAAGGCCGAATTCTTTAAAAACACTCACTGAATCAGGCTAGTGTTCCAAAGTCATACCGGACGCACCAGTGAGAACAAGAACAATGGTTGGACTAACTTTTGTGTGAGGTCTATTGTCTTGGTTTACATAAACGACAGAACAATTCAAGACATCATATTCACTGGTCAACCAGTAAATTCAATAGGTTTTCACTACGAAATGTTCAAGACCAACAACTACATTTTCTGATGCAGGGTTATTCTATGTGCTCTCTCTCCGAGTCTGTGTTGTAAACGTTGCCGGTTTTCTCTATTCGGCCAATTTTTATTTATATGGGGGATTGTTGAAAAAAATAGTTTTATGGTTACTTCAATGTGAAATTAAAGTAGGTCCCAACCATCGGTTGAGGTGGGATCAAATGGGTTTAGATTCTTTGTAACAAGATCTTTACACCACAAAAAGAATGACTAAAAACTATTAAGAATTGAATAAGAAATTGTTTCATAAAGTTGGTCTCATGAATGAGTTATTGGGAATTGTGTATAACTATCAATCCTACATTGATTGTAGAGGAAAGTTTTGATGGGTATTTAAATCTCAAGATTTTGATAAGGGCATGGACATCCAAATTTTCTAAAGGAAGAGAGTTATAGATGCTCAAGAATGGGCTTGGGCCAAAACTATGGTTTAAGTTGGTTATTCAAAAATTGCCACGTGCACGCTGCTCGCCTATTTAGACCGGACTGGACTAGGACAGGGATTGGGTTTGGGTCCGTGATCCATGGGTCGTAGATCTTGGGACTTGGGGCTTGGGCTTGGGCTTGGGCTGAGGCTTGAGGCTTGCTAGAATGGGTCCGTGGTCTTGGATCTTAAGGGTTGAGACTTGTTGGAATAGGTTAAGTTTGGGCTGGGCTAGATTGGTGGCCCATCAACCTAATCTTTTGGGCTAGGTTGGTTTGGTGGCTTCAGATATACACATATGTCTATATTGTGTGTAACCTCTACACTTAAATGGTGATTTACACCATCATTTTTTTTTGCATTACTTCTTCAATTTTGCATAAATTGAATTCTGCATTTGTTGCAGAAAAAATCATCCTCTCTCCCCCATTGTGTATAAAAGGAGACCTCCTCTTTGGTCTTAGGTATAGAATTTTTGGCTTTCATATACAGTCAGTCTGCTTCTATATTCTTCTTCCTGTGTGAGAGAATGCTGCCATTGTCAGTTCGCTGGAGTTAAACAGAAGGTGTTTCTACATTAGTGGATCTATACTGTCGTATCCTGGGAGATAGACGCCGATATTCCTCCAGCAGTCACGGTGAGGCGACGAATCTGTTTTAAAGAAACAGTTGTATCACACAGGTTTCGGTTTGTTTTCTTTTTCCATTTTATTTTGTTTAATATTTCTATTCATCGAGTTGTATAATTTAGTCCCATAATTTCATGATTTGAAATTTAATTTATTAAATATGAATATGTTTGTTTTCTTTTAATTACACAATTTGTATGACAGATGGTACATTAAATCCAGGTGGGCTTGTCCCACACTGAAACTGGTGTAGATTTGCCCTTTTTTTTTTAAAAAAAAAAAAAAAAATGGAAATAGTACCTATTAACTTACATGAGCACATGCTTATTCATGCCAAACTATCATTTGGAAGGTGCTTCAATTTCTGTTTACTCTTCTGCAACTTGCTGTTGGGAATCGAAACGAATTGTGTCTTGGCTTTTATTTCATCTCAAACAGAAATATGCATATAGTTTATGCAATCGGTATTGGCTTTAAGTTTAGATAGGACTTGTTCAAAGTAAGGAAGTTATATGTTTCATTTCCTAGTTAGTACTATTGTATGTTTTACGTAAATCAGGTTTGGCAATCAAATAACAGGTATATTGTCAACCAATTAGCTGGTTTATACAAAAAGAACTAAATTGATTTCTAAGCCTTAATAGTTTTTTTTTTATCCCTATTTATTTATTTATTTTGGTTGTATATGTGGCTTCAGAATTGTGTTCACTTCCGAAAACACATCTGTTTATGCATTTTGAAACCATTAGCATATATCACACAATCTGTCTACTGACATCATTTCTACCTTGAGTTTGCTTTATATATTTGTGATTTTGTATTTGACATGCATTCTCTGCTTGCAGCAAATACTTAATTATTTTACGTACAAAGCTGTGAGGACTGTTCTAAACCAGCTTTACGAGATGAACCCGCCGAAGTATAGGTGGTTTTATGAGTAAGCGAATCATCATCCTTATCAAATCAATATGGCCTTTTGTGATCCTTTCATGTCAATCTAAAACACCCACCATTGTGACTCATAATTTCCAAAATATTACTGTTATATCATCCTGGATGGTTCTCTATATAAAATTCATGTCTAGGTAACAATTTTTCAAAACATTCTGATGCTCTGCATGGGGCCTCACGAACACATACTTCTCAATCCTGAAATCTATGTTACGTGGAGTTGGGTGTGGATGTCGGGTGTGAGTATATGTTTAAGCATTGAATTCTTCCAATAGGGGCACGGGTAGATATTCATATATATATATATATATATATATATATTATTTCTAGAGGTAAAATAGTTTTCAGAAAGTAACAAAAGAATATTTTATGATATGGGAATTTTATGTATTATCATAAACTCGCCTAGACATACTTCCTGGGTGCATGATCACCTAGACATGTATCTCATAACCTTAATCAAGTGCCAAGTCTTCGAGTACTTCACACTTGGAAGAGTGCATGTTCCAGATCCAGAAACCATCAACAAAATTGCAGTTTTGCAACATTAAAAAAATAAATAAATAAATAAAAAAAATCCATCAGTAGGATGGGAATATGGGAACGGGAAGCTGCGTAATGCTATAGTAAGACTTGAACCCAAGCATCATACTTAGTAAGAAAGCGTTGCATTCACAAGGCCAACCCTTCAGTCTTGCAGTTTTGGGAGTTAGGTTGGATACAAGATTAGGTATACAACGGTTATGAGCAGGCAGTACATGCTCTGCCCTAGACCAAGTTCACATAGTTGTCTAATATTGAATGCTACGGTAATTTATTGTCTCTAATTTTTGTCATTTCTCATTTTGTCAGTTTTGTTGCGTCAAACAAGCCTGGTGATGGGAAGCGTTTTATTCGCATCCTTGGGAAGGTATCTTTCAAAAAACCTCGAGGATAACATATGAACTTCCATAATCTTAAACTTATGCTACATTTGATGGAATCACACTCGCTAAAAAAGAAAAAAAAAAATCATATTCATCGTGCTTTATTTTTTATAGGAGAAGCAAGATCTTGCTGAAAGAGTGATGGTAACAAGACTACACCTCTACGGAAGATGGGTTAAGGTATTGAATTTAGTACTTAACTCTCTTTATTCAGCATGCACACTATGTAGACACAAACCAATGTAAAAAATAAAGAATAAAACAGTTTTCTCTGTATGTGATTTTTGTTGTAGAAATGTGATCATGCTGAAATATATAAGGAGATCTCTGATCAGAACTTGGAGTTGATGCGTGAACGACTCATGGAGACTGTTATATGGCCCTCAGACGACACAAACACGCAGCTCATGGGTTGAAACTTGGTCTTGGATTTCGTTTTTCTTTTCTTCCTCGAAAGCTTTGACTAGTTTAGTCTTTAAAATCCTCATTAATGTTATTTTCCACCAAGTAATAAGAGTTTTCATATATTTTATATGGAAGTTATGTATATAAGTATCTCATCCATCAAGTTTAGATATTTTAGATTCAAATATATTGTTTCTCTTATTTGGAAGACAATGAACATTTTAGTACACGTTGCCTCAACTGGTCAAATTCAAGGTGTTTGAAATGGATGAAATAAAAAATAATAATAAAAAGAAGAAGAAAGAAAGAAAAAGAAAAAAGAGATGTTGAACTGCCGTGTTATGCTATGTATGAATCCTTGGATTTATCAAGGAAAATGAAGGAAATAAAATTTTAGCTTTATTTAACTTCATTTTCTTCGTATTCTTTCCTTTTTCATTCACTTTCCCTTGCAAATTTCTCTACAAATCTATAATCCAAACACATCCTTAATGTTTGACATAAGAACGCATTACTATGATTATGAAATTGCAATTCGTTTAGGGCACAAAATGTTGATTTGTTAAGAGTGAACTCATTAGTGAGATTGTGTGGAGCCTTAGACATGTTAAGTAAACATTTCTTGAGAAATATCATTTTTACACAAACAAACGGAATACTCATATGGAGGCCTATATGTCGGGGTGTGCACGGGTCGACTCGACTTGGGTTTCCCATCAATCCGTCACCCGACCCGACTAGATCGGATTGGAAAAAACTCATCCATTCTCGACCGATGTATGCTTTGAAATTGCAGAACTCGGTTTGATCAGTTTCGTGGTCGGATTGGATGAAACCGAACTATATCAAACAAGCAAAATATAAAAGGAAAAAACAATTGTAGATCTAACTTTGGCCAATATGGATTGTATGATCCCAAATTATTGGTTTTCCTTTTTTCATTCCATTTTAAACCGTATTATATACAGACATCTATGTATATATATTTACATACGTAGATCTTTGAGAAGAGTAGAAGAAACAAACCATAGAAAAAAATTAAAAAATTAAAAAAAAAAATGAATGACAAAGACCTGTATTACATAGATTTGTGATTGATCGGTAATACTTACATACAATAGTTGCCATCACTCGCTTCGTTTTTCAGCGGCCACCATCGCTCCTTCCTGCAACAATATCTTCTTTGCTTGAGCCCAGTAGCCATAGATGTAAATTAGAACTGAGATCTCTGTGCGTGAGAGAATGAGAGACAGAGAGAGCAAATAGAAGTTTAGAGTTCTAGAGTTCAAAGGTCGTGATTTATTTGGGTATCTGAGAGAGACATTGAAGAACAATCAGTGATGAATTGAATAGAGAGAGAGCGGGAGAGAGAGAGAGAGTGGGGTGTAGTTGAGTTTTTGAGAGAGATGGTGGAAGAAACAATGATGAATTAAGTAGAAAGAGCTGTGCAAAAAAAATAAATAAATAAATAAATAGAAGAGAGAGTGAGAGTCAGGGGTGTATTGAATGGAATAGAGAGAAGAAATGGGACGGTGATGTCTATTGAACACAAAGTGTCTTGACACTAACATAATGAGTTGGTGGTGTAATCAATGTCTTGGGAAGATAAGGGTCAAAGTCTTAGTAACCTATCAAATGGCAACACACAGATAAATATAAATTAACTACGGTTAGATCGGTTTAATCAATTCCAAATTTGCTAAAACCAGTACTCGACCGAATCTCAACAAAATTAGAAAATTCCAAACTGCAGCCGACCGTTCAGGGCTTCAAAACCGTCCATGCTGTAATTGGGTCAGATTGATCAAGTAATCGGTTATTTGCACACCCCTATGTAAGACCCACAGTCACGTATATGAGCATTCTATAGTTTGTCTTGTGTCCGTGGCAAAATTGCTAGTAAACGAGACTCAAATCTTGTGCCTGTACTCGAATATTAGCTGATCAGGGTGGGCACTGATTGCTACGGATGAAAAGAATCACCTGCGATCTACTTGCATGTAATGTGCCTCGAGACTTAGGTTCCTGAGCTGAATGCCTCAGCCAACTTGGTTGCCTGTTTGGATTAAAGAACACAAATTATGAACATCAATAGCCATACATTGTTGTTAGAAAAACAAAACAGCAATCTTAAATTATTGATGAAAGGACACTTTGCTACAACCAGTACCATATTAACCAGGTTAAGTAATCATTGTTCATAAGGCAGAGGAGGCTGTGATGAATTCTGCTTTCAAGCAAAGTCTAGGTCAATCCAGCCCCTCCCTACACACACACACACACACACACACACACACACACACATACATTCCAGTCTCACAATGAATAATCAAGTGGACCATCTTAATTAGCAAAACTGCAAAGTCCAAGTAGTTACTCTTTTAGGACTTCCACACCTTGAGAACCCCTAATTTGACCTCCCTTATCTGATCCTGGTAGCATCCTTTCTTTCTTAGAAGTCACTCCAGTTAAGGGCATCAATTTCGCACGTGCCGATACATAGCCTCAAAATACTGTTAGATCACTAGTCCCAAAATTTGAAGTTATTAGGAAGAGTCCAATATTGTAGTCTAACACGCTTCCTCACATGCAACCCAATCATGTATGTGGAGAGAAAACAAAGAAACATACCCAACGGGGGACCAAATGCAGACAAAGACTTGAACTTGAGACACCCTAGAACCAGAGCTCTAATATCATGTCAGATCACCACTAGTCTTAAAAACATAAGCTGCTAGAAAATAGACACAACATTGTACATCAACTTATCCAACACTTACAACATTGTTATGAATTAAAGTGCAGCTGGGGACATTTTTGTTTAGAAACTTGACAATGGTGCAATTATTCAACAGACACATATTTACAAATACATAATACATTAACTATTAAGCCCAAAAAAATGTATATGGAGAGGGATAATATGATACAAAGAACAAAAACATGTTTAGAAATGAGATGACAGGTTGCACCATGGGGATTAGTTTTTAAAATTAACCTGGTCAGTGGTACCCACAAGATAAGCTAGCTCCCCACTATGTTTTGAATGGGAAAGACTCAAAGCAATGCACTACACCTGCAACAGAAAAAGGTAGCAGTAGAAGCAAATATTTCATTCACAATATATGAATGACTTCTAATGGCAACCACAAAAAGGGAATAGAATGGTGATGAGGGGAAAAAACCGCATTGCTTAGCATGTTAATCAAAAAAATTGCTCTGAAGATTAAATCAAATCCACTCCAAGAAAATTTGTGCAAAAGTAGATTGCAAGTCTTCTTTGCACTGTTCAATGCCATATTATAACTTAACCAGCACGAGGTAGTTTTTTGCTACCCCATTAGAGCAAGGTCCAGCATTCAAGCCCCAGGTAACCTGCCTGCACACGAGGGTGTGGGGGATCCTTAGCGGATGGGCTAGCTTAGGGGAAACACAAATACAAAAGAACAATGTCCGTTGTGTTCAATAAATGCTCAATTCATGACATATATAACAATTTTTTTTCAAACAAGTAATATAGCAAAATTTAATGTTAAACCATAACAATGATACACAAGTAACGTGCCAATTGGCATGACCATAAAACTTCAACATAAACCTTGACAGATGCATACCATGTCAAAGGGCCGCCAACGGAGGTGAAAATGATGCCTTACAAATTGTGGGAAAGCCCAGGCATCAATTGGCATCAAAATCTCTTGTATTGGCTCTGATTTCAATGAATGAGAAAAAACAATCATGTCGAGCCATCACCAAAAGTCATGAATTGCCCCATTACAGTTCTTACACGAAGCTGATGCATGGAAAGAATCAAATTTAATGCTAGCAAACAAATAAAAATAGCAAGTAAAGAACCATCTGAATTTAGATAATTGGTTACCGCCTTTACATCCAAGCAGGGATCATTGACCATATTCTTTAATTGAGAAATTACACTGCCATTTCGTAGTTTTACAACCTGATCATATGCACTGGGACTGCTTGGAAAGGTCAGATTTACTACAACCCAGACAGCAGCCATGCGTAACTGGCCATCATTACTCTGTAAAAGCTTGATCATAATTGATTGGGTGTCATTGCCCATTTGTGGGAAAAGTTGTTGCATAACTGCTTCCTTGTGAAACTCATTCCCAGATGCCACATTGCTGAGTACGTACATTCCCTTCACCAGAAAGGTTGTTAACATCTATCAAAAGTGATACAAACACATAATCTCTCTTTTAAATACAGCATACCCATCCATGTTCACATGATACAACATGGGTTCATGTAAATCCTATCAAACCCTTTTAACACATGGAAATGCACGTGCTCTAAATTCAAGCAATTATCACAATTAATATGTTTGTTTCCATACTTATCTTTACCGCATTTATTAATAAATCTTACAATGATCACACAGCATTGATGGTTAACTGAAAATCATACCTACTATTACAGTATTATTCAATGGATCATGTGTCAAAGTATACATATCCCATCCCCCTCCCCCCCCCCTCCAAAAAAAAAAAAAAAAAAAAAAAAACAAAAAAAAAAAAACGCAGTGAAAGTTATGATTCTTGGTCATACTGTACCCAGCATTCAAACCAAAAATGACAAAACATAATAGGATCCCTTAAACTAAAAAAATGGAAAGAGGACAGAGACAAAAAATGGGAATAATAATGAGACAATCAAGAACAACCTATATGAGAGCACAAAAGGACTTCCAAGCCTCTCATTCACAACTATGAAGCATGGATACCAGCAAGAACAAGTCGACATGCCATTTTTCTAAAAATTAGGACACAAGTCACATTAAGGGACACATGGAATATATATATATATATATAATATAAATCCATATATTAAAAAAATCAGTTCAATCAAATTAGGGATAAAAAAACAAAAATAACAATTCAAGAGGCAAGTATACAGTGCATTTTCATTTGATCATATTCAAAATTCCATAAATATACAATTTGACATCAAATATTTAAAAGATTGTCGCCCCACAAATTTGCCAACTACGTAAAACATCTTTAAATAACCAAAAAAAAAAAAAATTTTTTTTCTTCCACTAAAAAAACCTGCATTGGAATAATTTAAACAAAAAAAGTATCGGTTCATCCACTATCTTCTTTTGACATGAAAAATACAAGTGATAGTTGATTTTTGTGTCCATACTCTTTTCTTCTTCTTTTGTTCTCGTCTTCTATTTCATAAAAGTTTTTTTTTAAAAATTATCAAAAGATTTGTTA